AATTCCAAAAATAAAAGAAAATAAAAATTAGTTTTTAAATATTCAGAATATTTATACAATATTATGTTCAGCTATTTTATTGGAATGCTTCAAATCTAATGGGAATATAAAAATGTTTAAATACAAAATGTATCAAAAGAGCTAAAAATATATATCTCCTCTCTCCTCCCTCCCTTTTTTAATTGTAGAGCATTTGACAATCGTATAGCTATAAAGTTTCAAGAGCAATTTCCAGTTGATTCTTATAAATGGTGCGGCGCCAAGCCCGAAATGCTTTGTTTTCTGGGTAAAAACTCAACTGAAGCGCTTTAGATTTATGCGCACAGGCAATTAAATTCATTAAACGAAATTTATGAGCAGCTCAAAATACTTGAGGGTGACATAATTGACTGCTGGCTGACTGGCAGCATCTCGCAGAAATCTGCAATTTCGCCAAGTCGATTCAGCAGCCAAGCTGCAGGAATTCAAATGCGCATAAACAATATCTTTATACGGAATTTCGAATTGGGCTAAGTAAATTACGCACATTGAACTAAACCAAACAATGTGCATAAACAAAAAGAAGACAGCCAGTGGGCTTGTGTTATCCACTGCTCAATACTCGTTCGGAGACTGAAAGTTGAGATGAGTGTCTATAGATGATAATGATTCAAGTAACTTTGCTTTAATCTTGAAGGCATCTCTTGAATTTCTATAGCTAAGTTTTTTAGCCATGCAAAATATAGATTGGTATGCCCTTTTAGGAGGCTTTCTCTCATCGAAGAGTATATAGATAAATAGGTATATAAGCTCAAGTTTATTTTATATATATGCAAGACCTAATATAGCATATCATCTAGCAATGGATTACTTTATTATCTGGCAGGATCGACTACTGATCTATAAGAAACTTGTTCTCTTAGAAAAGAATATATATTTATGTTCAAGTCACTTATGTATATATTAATGCCATTGTGCCACGCCCCCAGTAGGTGCTGTCTCTGATCTATAAATGACATTCTCAAGTACAAAAAAAAAAAAAAAAGATATTTATTTTGAGTTCTCTTCCTATTAAAGAGTATGTATAATCATGATTCTTTACTCGAACCCAATATACCCTTGTCGCCTACTTGGCGAGCATAAACACTTTGTAAGGCATAGGCTAGCTCGCATGTGCGCTTTATTTGTAGGCAAGACCCCAAATACGGCCGCAGCGTGTAATATTTTTGCTATAATCAAAATTGGAGGCGATAAAAACCATATTGTTTTCGGCTAGGTGTGCATATGGCGCCCTACTTTCCGTTAGGTTTTCACTAGCTAATCGGCTATATATATATATAAATAAATTTTGGATATATGTATATATACTTGGCATGAAAGTAACATACATAAATATCAGCTACTTTTTTCGAGAATATTTAGGGTAGCTCCAGGCGTTTATTTGTAAAACAAGTTGTTGTTGTTGTTGTTGTTGTTATTGCTGTTAGCTGAATAAAAGAAAACACATGTGTGCAAACTTTAACCAAATGCTAGATAAATACAAAAAAATTAAATGAATGAAGAAAAAAAAATGCTAAACACTATTTGCAAAATGTGCGAATTGCAAAAGAATTTTTGCCATATACAAAGCAGGAGCAGAGCGCGTTACGCATACGCAGCGTGCGCCCAAGAGAGATGCGCTGCTAGGCACCCTGCTTACGCTGAACAATAAACAACTCGGGGATTTTCAACTGCACTAAAAGCAAACAAGTTTTCACTTTCGTTTTCATTTATATGCATACATTCATCATACAGAATAGTTGACTAACCAAAGAAAGAGACGGCGAGTGAGAGTACATGATTGATAGCTCAGATAAGATATACGCAAATCGTTTTGCATTATTTATTGCTTTATCATGGCACTAGGTCAGCTGATAAAAAACGCTTTTCAGCTGTTGAAGTGCTCGCTCGACGGTGTGAAAAGAGTTTATTGGTTGCAAGGGAGACCTGAGATAAATGATTTGAAATTAATAGAGTGAGAAATGTATTGGGATTTTCCGTAGATATCATATCGTGAGTTGCTCTATCCTTTACAAAATTGAAGCAAGACTAACATTACATGAGAGACTATAGAATTGAAATAACCTGGGCTTACGTTTATCATATATAAATGCGAAAATATTATTGATATACAACATATCGTAAACTTTTATCCATATTAATGATATAAATATATAGGAAATTATGAAGATTATTAAGAATCATAAATTTTACACAAAAACTACCACTTTCGTAGATTCCCTACAAATATTGTATGAATAAGCCGTAAGAGACTATAAAGACTCGGTAAATATCTTTGTCCTCAACAGCCTTAGCGTTAAGATTCTTAAGTATTACATTAAGTATCTCCATTAGACCTCCCATATGTAAACCTTGATCTGTGGAAATCATCGCTCTGTTTCAAGATTTATGAACTTGTAGCGAGTATTATACAGTCAATCATGCTCGTCTTCCATGCTCTTGTTTATATTTCAGTGAGTCGACAATCAGCATGCATTAACTTATAACTTAGGCGATAATTAGAAATAAACTTTAGATACGAAAATTAATTTTTAGTAAAGATATACACATACACATATATGTACTTATATGTATATTTTATATCATTTATAGCTTATGTAAAATATTTATTCATTTATTTGGCAATATTATAAAATACTTTTTAAAAATTTCTCTGCACTTGAATTCATATTCAGCTCGAAACCCAAATGTTTTCTAGCTAATCTAAAACCTCTCTCTTCTTCTGACAATTTTAAACATATCTGATATCCCTTACGTTTGTTTCTTAAATGAGCCAGCAATGGACGACCTCTTTCCGTTTTGTTAAGCTGCAATCAAGGCGCTCGCGTTGAGTTCTTGTTTCGCAAAGTAATTGAAAAAGCAAAGGAAAAATGTTCAAGCAAAATATTTGCTAACTGAGGAGCCCAAGCGCCGCCCGATATCAAATTTGGCAGTGGCATGCCCTTTTTTCTATGAGTCAGCTTCGTTTTAATACCCTGTGGAATAGAGGGAAGAGGGTGGATTGAAGTGATGAGTAATATGCGATGAGTTGATTCAGATTGTTATTGACAGAGATTGTAGAAATGAGTTTTGAGCAAGTTTCTAAGAATATTGTAAGTTCAATTTTCAGCTTCTGGAAAAAATTAAATAAAATATTAAAAGTAATAGAAATAACAAATTTATATTAGAATCCAAATAGAATTTTTTAAATATTAATATATTATATATTAATATATACTAAAAAGTTAAGCCAGCAACAAGTTATTCTAAATATAGGAAATATTTCTCAAATAAAACTCAGGTTTTGTTAAGTATATAAATTGCAGGGTAACTACTAGTGTGCCCGTTCAACTCTTATTGATTCATTGTAGCTGCTGGATGGTTGTAGCCGATAGTTGGCTACCTGGTTTGGCCCAGCCTGGCCCGACTTGGAGCTCTTTGCGAGCCGCCCAACAAACGCAAACAGGCAAAGTTTGTTTTGTCATTCGTTCGTTTGCAGCGCCAGCAGAAGCCAAGCAAACCGTTGCCAATGATTACGACAAATGCCGAAACGACCTTGCCAATTACTGTTTGCAACACGCCCCTCCCCTTAGCCCACCTACGCCCATCGACCACATGTACATATTACCAAGAGCTGGCCACAAAATTTGTACGTTACGCCGCGCTGTTTGCGTATGCGTGGCGAATGCTCAACTATGTGAGTGTGTGTGTGTGTGTGTGTGTGTGTGAGTGTGCTTAACTAAGCAATGTTAAAGGTTAAATGCAAACCTTAAAAATTATTGACGCTACACTTTGTGCGCTCTTTAAAAGCCACAAAGAGCGCCCATTCAATCAAGCCCGAAAAAATCATGCATTATTTTCAGAGATACATTTTATTTAAATGTGATTCGCAAAGCTTATATGTAAGTGTGAGTGTTAGTGTGTGTGTGTGTGTGTGTGTGTGTGCGCCACGCCGTTGAATACAACAAAAAAATAGCTTGCAAATAATTAGCGCAAATTTGACGCCAGTTGCTCAGCGCCGAGTGCGTGCGATCGCAGCGTTCGAGTACGTGTATCTATGAGATACAGCTGTGTATCTTTGCCTTTTTACATGAGAGCCGCACGATGAGAGCGAAAGAGAGAGAGCGCGAGTGCTTCTGCCTGAGCGCTAGAAAATAGTGAGAGAGTGTAAGAGTGAGAGAAAGAGAGAGTGAGTGTGTGAGAGCAAGCGACGAGCTTGGGCGCGCGAAAATTTTGCTGCTGTTTATTGTTGTTGTTGTTGTTGTTTTGGTTTTTTGCACAAAACGTGGATAGCTGGTAAACGGACGATCTATGCGCGTTTTTTTCTGATTTTTTTTTAATTTTTTTTTTTTTTTTTCTGTAGCATCTTTTGTGTATGCTTTTCTCAAACTTTACGCACGCAGCCGCTGCCCCCCCTTCCCATATATGTGTGTGTGTTTGTAGTTGGGCCAGTAGCGCTGGCAGAGGCAACAGCGGCAGCCACTTAAGAGCTGTTGCGCACATGTGCCGCAAGAACTGAATAGCAAACACACACAGATAGAGAGAGAGAGATACACACACACACACACACATGCACACAGCTGGGAAACCGGCATGTCAGGAAAGCTAGCTAAGCGATCCAGCCAAAGGCACGAAGCGCACTCGGACTTTGGTTCGGACTTAGTCTTAATCTAAGTCAATTCTAATGCATGCTCAGAGAGCGCGAGACATGTGCATGCTGGAGCGAGAGAGTGATAGCGATAGAGAGAGAGACAGACAGTGAGAGAGATACAGTGAGAATGCGAGAGCAATTGCAGTTTGCCAGCTTCAGCATTTGCCACATGCGGCGACGACGACGACGACGACGCTCTCAGCTGCAACGGCTGCCACTGAGACGCTGCTGCTGCTGCTGCTATTGTTGTTGTTGTTGTTGTTGTTGCTGTGGCTGTTGCTGCTGCTGAACGTGTTCTTTTTAGACTTTTAGCATTATTTGCAGCATTTGCAACGAACACTCGCTAAAAACAACTGCAACCGCAACGTTGTGGCACGCGTTTCTATCGCACTACGAAATAAAAATAAAAATAACAAAAAAAAAAAAAAAAATTAGAAAAACAATTAGACAAGAAACTTAGTCTTAGACTAAAAGCCCGCTAGTGGCCTGAACTGTCAACAAGTGCTAAAACAACAAAAACATATAGTACAGTGTGGCTCAAATCGGTGCAATATATACGACATAAATATATCTAACAAAAAGCATAAACAAAGCCAAGGGAGCATGCAACATGTGTCGCGCAACTTTGAACTTTGAATGAGATCAGCGGCTATTAAAGCCAGGCAAACAAACACTTGAAGACACACACACACCTACATATCACACACACACACACACACACTGGCAAAGTATGTGGGAGTTTGAAATTTTGGACTAACTAAAATACACAAAAGTTCTCTAGCTTTGGCTCGCTTCTGGGAAGCAATCGAACAAGTTGCATTTTCCAGTGAATTAACTACATAGTTTTTGGCGTTTGGTGCGGAGTGAAAACATTTGCATATGACGGCTTCTTTATAGGCACACATTCCCACTAATGTAATGCTATATATGTTTATGATTTGAATGCAAAATAATAATCATAATCGGGTATAGATTTCGATAGAAACTCCCAGTGTGATAACGCGAAACAAAACGAATGCAAATTGTGCGTGCATTTTGTATGAATTTGCGCTAAAGCAACAAAAGCTGCAAAAGCACAAAAAAAAAAAAAAAAACACAGCCGGCACGCCCCCTGGTTAACAGCTGATGTCAAGCAGCGAAGCAGCAGCACAGATCCTCATCATATCGTCAAATGTATCTGTCAGTTCCTTTCAATTTCTAAACATGTGAGACGCACATTTTGCACGGTCTCCAGCAAATTCCATGGAATTAAAATGATATGAGAGATTCAGACTGAGACTGAGTCTTATATATGTGTATATATATTATACATATATATATTTTGGGGGGATGATGTTGTTTGAGCGCGCGTAAAAAACGGAACAGCAAAAGAGACAAAACGAGACTTACACACACACACACAGAGATACACCCAGACACACACACATGCGAGGCAGATATAAAGCCAAAGATCGGGTACTAGGTTAGCAGGCAACAAGAGGAATAGGAATAATAAAAAGCAATAACAACAACAACAGCAACAACAACAAAATACAAAATGCTCTTAAGCAGACGAGCTGCTGTCGCCGAAGAAATTCGCAAATTGTTCGTTTGAAAGCGAAAACCCAGCGTCAGATACACAGACAGCGACAGCGACAGCTACAGATACAGATACAGATACAGCTTACAGATACAGCGACAGCTACAGCTACAGATACAGGCAAAGCGGATCGCTGCTGTAAGCGCCTTCAAGGGTGAGACAACAGCAGCGACTGCGACGCCGACTGCGCTGTGTCGTGTCCAATATGCCCTTGATCGTAGCTGCTGCTGCTTAAAATGTCGCGGCTGCGTAGCTGACAGCAGCAGCGGCGGCAGCGACTGCAGCAGAGGCGGCGGCAAAGTATCTGTAAGCTTTGCCAGTCCCTTGCCGAGCCGTCCCAGCGCCGAATTTTGGCAACACACAAAAAAAAAAAGACAAGCGAAAATATATACACACACACATACGTATATACATATATTATATATAAATATATAAATGTATAAAGACAAGCATAAAGAGCGTTTGCCGACCGCCTTTAGATACTCGCATGTTTTGCTCAGTTTTTGTTGTGTTGTGTGTGTGTGTGTGTGTGTTTTTTTTTTTTGCGCTTTTGTGCTTTTAAATTATGTTATTTATTTTGTTTACTTGGGAATTGGGAATTGGCAAGGGTCTGTCGTACAGCCAGTCGGCGTTACGTGCTGCTGCGGTACGCTCTGCTTGATTTTTAGTTGCCACAAGAACACATATTACAAGCATGTGCAAAGTGTATCCGTATCCGTCAGATACAAGACTAAGCTACTAATTGGCCAAACAGAACGCGCTCTTTCTCGCTCTCTAGCTGTACTATCACTCATTACGAACCGCCCTAGCTCTACCTCTCCGTCTCCCACTCTCTCGCCATCGAATTGTGTAATAATTTTTGCCAAAATGCTAGCAACAACAACAACAACAACAACAACAATAGCAACAACAAATATTTCGCGTGTTCTTCACAGCTCATAAAATTTTTTAGTGCCGCTCGCGTAGGAAGTCGCACGTAGGCAAAGCCCGAACGTTAGAATGCGCGTGTGTATTGCAGATACAATAATAAGAAGATACAAGACAATCAATTGATTGGTGCAAACATTACTAAAAACTGAACCGTTAGAAACTGCAGTTAACCAAACAAAAAGAAAACAAAACAAAAACAAAAAAACAACAACAAATTAAAATATTCTCTAATAATATCAATTTGTTTTGTATCTCGAGCCGAGCCAAAGCATTGCCAATGTTATAAAAAAACATTCAGTTGACAGTGTTTTTACGGAAATGACCAGGTGCGTGTTTATGCCTTAATTATTGAATATTTAAATATAAATTAAAATATATTTTCTGTAAGAGATATTAATTGAGCAATATAACAACTGTTAGTTTACAGATGTTGAAAATTAACAGAAGTCACTTGCTTTTCTTGACTTAAATTAAATTCAACGTTACACATAGGGATATATACATACATATATATCTATATACAAACTAACTCTATGGGTAAAGTTAAATACATGTTTAATAGATACCATACATATATGTACATATGTAGATATTATCTATGTATATACAACATTTTTTGGTCAATGTTAGCTTATGAACTTATCAGCTCGACTGTTGGAATTAATTCATACTTTAGTCAAATTTATGCACGACTAAACTTAATAAATATACAGTTTTGTATATTTTTTTTATATAAAAACAGGTCAATAATACCTAAAATATGTTTATTATATACATATAAATTACAAATGTTAATCATTTAGCACATATATACACATATATTGCATATACATTAGAAAAGATACATAGAACTGTAAGGAATTATGAAAGAAATTTCAGGACACGAATTTTTCATATCGGAATTTATTACATTTAATTTAAATATATTTTTATATTATCATTCAAAATATATATAATGATATATACTTATATATATATATATATATAATTGCACAGCTTGCTAATGGAAAATGCAAAGAAGCGTAGGATTTGCCAATTTTCCCCGCCTCCAGCAGGCGTAACATATATAATTTTCGATCAATTCATAAAGAAGGTCAATGAAGTTAATTAACACATTTTGGGTCTAAAACTTTTGGGCTACAGAAAATAGTTATGGCCTATATATAAGTATATAACCTTGATATAAGATTTGCTTGACTCATATAGACGACAAAATATTGCAAACCAAACCAACAAAATTTTATAACTATCAATAATTATCGAGTACTTAAAATAATCTAAAAAGTATATAATTTATAGCTACGACGGCGTTTCGAACAGCCGATTTCATAGCTGAAACCAGAATAGAATTATCATGTCATTTCGAGAATAGAAACAGAGAAAGTCAAATATATTATGATTGTCGCTTACTAACTTGATCTTTGCTCAAAACGAATAATGATTTTCAATACAGTTGAGTCTCTATAATTTGTAGCCCGTTAAATCAAGAAACGCGATTAATCGAAAAAATTCTATTCGCTTGAAAAAAATTCTTTCTCGATAATTCTCGATGGTTTGAATTTCTGTGTCAATCGAAAAAAAAAAAAAAAAAAAACTGATCCCCTTGTCATTTCGAAATAACGGAACTTATGATTGCTATAATAGCTACTATAATTGTTATATACTTTACAAATCTCATTTACATATCTACCACCTTTACAATCCTTGGCTAATGTGGCCACACCTTGAGATCATCCTAGCTGCATTTCAAAGCTCACGTTTCACCCTTCGATAGTTTTCTAGCTGATCAATCATAACAAAACAATTTCCATAATATTTTTAATTCATTCATGTTAAACAACCCACCTAAGAAATAATAAAAAATGTTAACAATAATTTGCACTGCTGGTCAATTATAGTTGCATTGGCCAACTTAGCTAGCCCGCATCTGGTTTCTAGCGCCCAGTTGGATATCAATTGAGCGCAGCTCCAGCTTGGGTGGGGTTTGAGCAGAGTTGAGCTCTGAAAGTCGTCTGCCCGCGCCCAGCTGCTCGATGTGGTTGCCAAATCAATTCCAATTTAGTCAAGGACAAATTGGCTCTAACTGGGGCTCAGCTCAGGCGACGTCATCAGTGGCAAAAATAGATGAAGTCGTAAAACCAACAAAATTAAGTATACGCAATGCTAATTGAATAATTTGAATTGTTGCACCTACAACAACAGCAGATGCTTAATATAGTTGTTGCAATTGTTGTTGTCACTGTTTGTTGTTGTGTTGTGTTTGTAACAGATATTTTGACAGCTTTGACTAAGCCGGCGTGGGCGCAGGCGTGCCAATTGCTCTTGTGGGTGGCAGCAACAGCAACAGCAGCAACAGCAGCAACAACAACATTTACTTCGTTTTCTAATCAATGCAAATGCACATTTTTGGTCAATTGTGCGCCAAATGTAATTTATAACATTTAAAAGTATGCGAATGCCTATTTGTTTTTGTTAATTCAAACAAATGGCAATACGCTATAGCAGCAAAATAGCAAGTGATGTCATCCTGCAGCTGGCTCGATTGCTGCTGCTGCTGCTGTTGCTCTTGCTGTTGCTGTTGCTGCTGTGACAGACACCCGGGGTCAGGTTAAAGTTGAATCATTTGTTTGTTGAGCAAACACGATTTTTCTTTTAGCACACATTTTCGATATTGCCTGCTAATTAATTGAAAGCCATTTTATCGCAGACACAAAGCCAACTGGCCATCAATATCACAGCAACAACAATAACAACAACAACAGCAACTGTTGCTATTATTATTATTACGTTATAGTGCAACAATGGGCAGCAATTGGGGGCAATATGCGCAGCGAAGATCGCCTCGGTGGCAGCTTCTAACTGCGCTTTTTGTTAGCATTTCAGACACGCCCACAAAACAAAAAGCGCACACCAAAAAGAGCAACAGAAAAATATAAAATAACTAGCACAGGCTTCGCATCAGCAGAGTCCTCCAACGAAACAAAAGCGAAAACAATAGCAACAACAACAACAGGCACAAGAATAAGTAAAAGTGTTGCACGAAACAGATACCCTGTATCTGGGAGGGAGAGACTTAGTTTGATATATTATATATATGATATTGATATATTATACATAAGGCAATCTATAAATCTATTATGTATAACTGAATCTATAGGACTGGAAAGTAGAGAATTTCAATAAACCTATAAAAATCGAAATTTATCGATGAAGCAATAATAGGTATGTCAGAATTCGATAATTATCGATAAAGCGATAATCAGTAAAAGGGTGTGTATGTTAGAAGGAAGAGTCTTAGAGGCCTATTCATATTTGCTCTTGCAATATATTCTGCATAACAGAATCTATAAAACTATTGAAGTGTAGAAAATCTCAATAGCTGTATTGACTTCGATATTCATCGAAAAGGCTTCTTTCCCTAAATACTTGAATGTACCATAGCTATCGATATTCAGCAATGAAATATATATCTCTATTGTCCAAAAGTCGTCTAGCTTGTGGTATGCGCATCTGTATATCCATATATACATATACATATACATATGTATATATCCACCCGCCCCACAACACAGCTGATACACCCCATTAGGTAGTGACTGTAGGGTATTCTAAAGCCAGACAACAGCTTCTCTTTCTTCGTTTTGGCATTTTCAGTTTCGTTTGTTTTATTTTTTTCAGCTTTTTCTGTTTTTTGTTGGCCGTCGCCTGCTGCCTGTTTGGCTGCTTAGCTGTTGGCCATAAGGCTAGTGGCTTACAACAAATAAACTGCTTTTAACCTTGAGCTGCGCGCGTTTAGTTTGTAAGTCACGTCTAAGTCGCCATCGCCGCTCAAAGGTTTGACAGTCGCCGATGACGCTGGCAGCGCAGCTAGTAGCGACGCTGGCAGCGCTCTTTTTGGCCACGAGCAGCGACGCGTCAAATTCGCTTTATTTCGATTTTTTTTTTCCATTTTTGCAAATTTTTGGCGTGCCTCGTTTTTACCCTTTTGCCTTGTTCTTGTTGTCAAGCGTGAGCGAGTGTGTGTGTGTATGTGTATCTATATATAATTTTTTTTTTGGGAACTTGTAAGCTGCGTCGCTTGACCAATTTGAGTTTTTAAGTTGAAGTTTTGCACGCCACGAAAAAGGTTAAAACATGTTTCTGAAGTAGGTTTTCCACTCGCTTCTAATGGCCTGCAACATTTAACTAGCTGAGGCTCAGCTCCGAGGGGCAGCTTCGAGGTGTTAGCCAGCTCAGGTATGGCTTATGTAATGCCAGGTAAATTTAAAAAAATGAGACAAAAAGTAGAAATACAAAACCAAACTGCCTATTCGTGCGAAATACATTAAAATGTCTTTTATCAGGGTTAACATGATTTTTATCACATTGCAAAATATTATAAAGGGGCTCGGTTCATTGCGTAATATATTTAGGGTACAGTTTACATAGGTATAGAGCTTGCGTAAGATTTTTTATATAGAAGCTTGCAATCCGATTGGATTTATTAGATACTATATGAGAGGAAATTTTATGAATATATTCGAAAGTTTCCTTGGAAATGTTCATTATATATGATATAATATTATATTCTAGTTACAATCCTTAGGAGATCCTAGGAACTCTTCTTTGTATATAAGAACTTATTTCTCAAGATAAATCTTATTCCAAAATCCCTCTTCTACATCGAAAATCAGAAATCCCTCTCTCACTCATAAATTCTGAAGAGCTTTGAAGCTTCTGTTCGAAATCCATCATATTTATTATAATGTTTAATATTTCAATAAAAAATAGACACAATTTAACATTTCATTTTGAAAATAATATCATTGTTTCAAACAACTTTACCAAATATTGGGAATTCCGAATCAATATTCGTGACAAAAAGAGATAATTAAATGGAAAATAAATAGAAATAATAATAATAATGATATGCTTGTCGATTCGTCAGATTCAGATACTTGAGCTTAAGTGTTTGCCTATCTGAAACGTGCTTATACAGATAGCAAGTATACGAAAAATGCCGTTATGAAAAAATCTCTCTTGATCGTTTGCTTATCAATTGTTTAATTACAAAATAAAAAACTTTTTAATACAATTTTTAACGTTTACATTTAGCGAAACACACGCGCTTCCATTCGTTTAATCCACATCATTAATCGCCTCACACACACACACACAAACATAAAAAGCTGCCAAAAAAGTTACACACACGCACACACACCAATGCACAGAGCGATAGCGAATCTACTATAGTGGATGAGCAAGTAAGGAACAGTAAGAGAGCGAGAGAGGGAGAGAGCTAGAGCGCGTATGAAGCGAAGCAATAAAATGTGCATTTGTATTGGAT